TGACACTTTCCACTTCTCGTACGCCACTTCCTTCACCTCCCCGTAGTCGTAGAAGGCCCGCTGGATGGTGTCGTTCGTGACGCCGAACGACACCCAGTGCAGCTTAATACGGATCTCCTGTCTGTACGGGTCGACCACGACACATTTCCGACCCTTTACTGCAATCCGCCCCGCCAGAAGTTTCTGCTTGGCCGCGTAGGTCTTCAGGTCTAGCAGCCAGACGTGGGACATCTGAAATGACCCTATCTTGGCCACCTCCCCGAGGACACCTGCTTCGTCCAGTGGTTGCCTGAAGTCCTCTATGCGGTACGGGCGACAAGCGATGTCGCCGTGCAGCACGACAGCGTTCTTCATCGATTCCCCTGATGGCAGTGCGGGCAAAATCATCCTGTAATCTTCGTCTCCGGAGATAATCGATTCACCGCGGCCGACGGGGGCCGTTATCACCGCTCCTGCAGAGCACATGATTCTGCGTCCGTCCGCTTTCGCAGCCGGGAGAAGAATGACTCGGCCACCGATCCCCCCATGTTTCGCGTAATAATCATGCGCTCTGCAAAGTAGTTCTTACAAGATTTGATTGTCGAAGAAAGAAACGACGCTTATGGCGTTTGAAACGTGTATGTCTCGATAAAATGACAACGCTAATATTAGATGTCTTGATAAAATGACAACGCTAATATTAGATGCATCTACATATTTCTTAATTCATCACAGAAAGGGCGAAATTAGTAACGTTCCGCCAAAGCTGGACTATTTTTACTATAGTTTTTGAGGTGAACACGATTGATGTATTTTTCAACATGGCATATTGATCAAAAGTGGCGAAGCAGGCGAGTTGGTTCATGACTTATAAAATTAAAAGCGCTAACAAAGACAAGGCGCTCGTCCTGTTCGCCTTCCTTTTTGTCGTTTGTTAGCGCTTTTAATTTTATAAGTCATATTGATCAATTCGTCCCATGACTGATCATAATGCGGAAGGGCCTTTGCGTTGTTTCCTCTCCACAGAACTAACACAACACTGTGTGTCCGGACACCGCTGACTATTGGTCGCGCCAACAAGGCAACGTGAATACGATAAGAAGTGTGAGAGAGGGAGCAAATCAACAGCCATGGCCGATATCGAACCTATTGTACGACTTTAGAGTAGGCAGGACTTGTTCTACTTCGTTCCAGCTTAAAGGAAAGTTAAAAAGGGTCTCGAAAAAAAAAAAAAAAACGAGTTAGAAGTGAATTTTAGAGTATTATTTTTTAGGGAATCCGAATATCACGTTCGGTTTCCTTAACGATGTAAACTAAACACGAGAAAACACGAAAAACCTCTGACCAGTTGTTACGTACTAAAAGGATATTTCGACCGCCAAGCCCGTGTCGCTCGTGTGGGTAGCGCGTGCAATTGCAAGCTTGCCAGGTACATTCCCCCGCACTACAATCAGTCGTGACGTTTACTTTTGACCTTCTCAAAAAAAGCAAGAGTACGCGTGCGTAGCTTTGATAGGCGCTAAGGATGCGCGAGAGCGGAGATTCCGAAAACTCATTTTTTAACTCTCCGGAAAGGACAGTCGTCAGCGGTATCTTCAAAATGATTTTCTGCAGCCTCTGTGCACAAAATACCGTATTTACTCGAGTCATGGCCGTACTGTTTATAAAAAAATGCTGAGGGTTTGCTTTTCCGCGGAGCACGCGGATTGCCAATCATCGCAATCGACAGCATAATTCCAGTGGTTTACAGGGCAGAGATAACGTCTTCGCGCGAAGATACCATCTGTGAAGATTGTATTTGTATGGGGAATCGTGTTCTCGATCTAGATATTCGCTATGTTATTTATGCGCAACGCGATGATTGGCTGTGTGTGTGTTCTGCGGGAAAGTAGACGCAAGGGACTAGTTCATAGATAGTGCGGCTATAACTCGAGTAAATAATCTCTATATACGTGATTCTGGAGGTCGAATTGTTAACGTGATGGTTTTAGAAGTCACTGTTTTTAAAGTAACGAAAAAAAAAGACAGACTTTATTACGGTTAGATAAGGTTAAATAGACCACAACATTAAAGGGGCACTGACACATCAAAATCATATTTTTTTTTTATTATCCGAAACGATTGAAAACGATGCCGGGACATTACCCTCGAAATTTGAGATTTGGGAATTCAGTATTCGTGAAGTAAAAAAACAATTTCCAAATGCCGAATTCGAAGTTCCCGCGCGATCGGCGCCGGTGCCTTGACGTCAAAAATCGCGGAGACCTGAGAGTCGACTTCCTTTCACCACTCCCGGCTGTTGCCATGGCGACCCAAAGCGAGGAGGAAAGGAGCGAGCGCCCGCGTTGAGGCGGACCGGTTTTGAGCGGTGTCGCCTGTTTTCCGTTGGAGGATACAAATCCAGGAGACGGCACCACAACGAACTCCCGATTTTTGGTATTTCAAAAAGAAGGGCCGTAGTGCGTTCGCAATTGCGTTAAAAAACATGTTTTAGGATTGCCGTAATTAAATGTTATAGAGATGTCGCCTACAAAGCTTCTAAATTTCCTGATTTTTGACGTCACCGATCAAAAGAGGCGAGAGGCGGGAAAATCAAACGCCAAAAATAAAAAGGCGCGCGCGCGCGCGGGAAAATTTTTTTTCGCGATGCGGTTTTTTTTGCGTGTCTATGACTGCAACTTGCATCGTTTTAGACAATAAAAATAAATACGACCTTTGGGGTGTCAGTGCCCCTTTAAGTCACCGCTCTGGAATTGCACAATGCAAGCACGACGCTTTGCAATGCGTAATGTCACTGCGCAAACTTCATTTTTAGGTCTAAACGGATGTTCCGCCTCATCATTCGCTGAGCTGAGCTGATTTCTCAGAGCACAGAGATTGGCTCTTAGAGTGTTTTGCGGGTAAGTAGATGCGCAGGCATTTCTTAAAGTGCGGGCGTTTGTTTCCTCCCCGACCTCAACCAATGGTGGCGCGAGCTTGGCTGCTTCGTCATCGTGCCCTATCTACGGGCTCTCTTTGTTGCCCTGTGATTTGCATGCCGCTCTTTGCGTTTCGATGCGCCGAAGACGCACACTATAAAACACTTGCTCGCCGTGTAGGGGGTGCAACTCGAAAGCGTGATATGTGAGTGGCTGAAAATACTCGCACGTCGAGGTTTTTGAGAGTGCACTCAAAGGGTCAATCAGTGAGATATATATATAAAAAAAAGAACTTCGGGGAATTTGGTACACGAAACAAACAAAAACATAAACAACAACAGCTTTCATCGGAAAAAAAAGTTATATCATCCTCCCGACCCTGACCTTGACGTTTCACATGTTGACGTCATGCTCACATCGAAGACCCAAAAAATTTCCCGATGAAAACACCTTTCCGCGGGTTTGTCATTGGCCAATTCGTAGATCTCGACGATTAATTGGCTTTCTGAGTCCTTTGCGCAAAAATGTAGAGGCACGGGATTGTTTTCTCCAGAGGGGATCATTCCTCGCATCAATCTAGTCTAGGCCATCTATACAGCTAGGCCGTTTCCGAGCCCTACTCGGGTGTAGTAAAATCCGCCTAAATAAACCAAAGAACTAACTACAGTCAAACTTCTCACAAATGTGTCTCTAGGTAGCGTATTTTTCATGCTCAAATTTCATAAGTGTAGGTCTTAGAAAAAAAAAAAAGAAGCCTGAAAAATTTCTGTTTTTTTTTTTATGCCCACGGAGGAAAACGGCAAAAACTCCCTGACTGACGCTGTTACTCGGCATGTCACAGCATAAAACAAAAATGTAAATTTTTTAAATTTTTTTTTAAAGATAAACAGCCGAAAGCAGAACCAACAGGTTCGAGCATGTGTGGTATGAACTTTAAATAGCACCGTCAACCAGACTGTTCTTAACGTTTTCCTCCCTGCGCATATGAAACAAAAAAAAACTTTTTTTAGGCTTACAGTTTTTTCTCTTGAAATTCGCGCAAAATAAATGCACCCCCAAAGACACCTTTGTGAAAATTTTCAGTGCACTCCGTTCGTTGGTTTATCTAGACGTTTTTGATTTAAGCCTCAATAACGTTTAGAAACACACTGTAGGTGCCCGTCTATCCAAAGCAACTTGGGCAAGCAAGCAAGGAAAAAAAAAACAAAAAAAAAAAACAACAGAAGAAACATAATCGGCAGCGATCTTTACCTTTAAAGTCCTATAATGCATAAAATGCATTATAAGGAAGATTAGACGATATGCGAAATGCACCGTGCCATCTAGTAAGGTGCCAAAGAACATGCTCCGTCTCACCAGTTGGCTGCGGCGTGGAAAAGGCCAGGGCGCGAAAGCGTAGTTCTGAAGAATCCTTCGCTCGCACAAGCACTCGCGCTGAGAAAGCGCTTTGAAAAACTAGGCGCTCGCGCCCGTTCCCTTGCCGGCATTCAAATCCAAATTTCGAGCTGAAGTGTACGTCCGCCATGTTGGTTGCGGCGAGATCTACCATCGACCGGCGGTAAAACAATACTCACCCTTTGCCCACAGGTGTGGGTGAGGATCGGTGACGGAGAGCAGTAGACCTCGATTATTACCGACAACGTACACAAAATTGACAAACAGCAGAGGAATCTCGCCGCAACAAAGATGGCAGCTCACCCAGTGTTGCCAGACGCTCGAGCAATTTCGCATATGGTCTATTGGTGACGTAATTGGTTTGTCACGTGACGCATATTTTCCCGCTAAATTTAGCGGCTAACTAAATTGGTGTATAAGTCACATGACGTCAATTTACCGCTAAATTTAGCTAGGAAACTGAATTGATATATTGGCCATAAGACGTGAATTATCCCGTTAAATTTAGCGGGGAAACTAATTTGACGTATAGGTCGGTCACATGCTTTCCATTTCCCCAAGATGTGTAGGTCACGTGACGTCACTTTCCTCGCTAGATTTGGCGGGAAATGCACGGACAGATAGACGAACGGAGGGGCGGGTTAAAGTTTTGGATTGGGGGTAGCGTTAAAAAGCATTTCATGCTTAAGAACGAAAACAAACACGAACCGGCGTAGGACTCGCCGGCGATGTAGAAGTCGTTCGCGGCGTACTCCACGAAGAGTAAAAAGAACTGCTGTAGGGCTTCGAACAGGTCTCGCGCAACGTCCTCCTGACTTCGGGCGTAGCCCTGGTCCCGTTCGGTGAAACTGAAGCCGGTGCCCACGGGGCTGTCGACGTAGAGCATCGAAAACCGGCGGGCCCAGGTGACTCGACGCCGTTTGGGCCTGCCTCGCCTGCTCACTAGGTACGGGCCGTGCTCGACGAAGAGCCCGAACAGAGAAGAGGCGCCCGGACCGCCTTGCAACCACAGCATCACGGGAGCCGTCTCGGGGTTCTCCTGAAAGCACGGTAACAAGTGGTGAACGTCTTCGTGGGCTCTTTACGAAGGTCAGTCTGTCCGCACTGTGCAAAGTCAAAGGCAACATTACTAAAGCACTCAGTTGAGAAACTCACCCTTAAAACCCAAACCGCTCGCGTCCACCGAGACCACACTGGATTCGATAACAGCGCCGCCATTTAGTGAGGAGTCAAAGCATGGAAGTTGCTTTGGATAGCTACTGCGACATGGCACTGCGAGAGGGCGCCACCAGCCCTTGCTCGACTCGACCTGAACCGATACGTGCAGAGGTGCAGTTCCCGGAGTGGCTCAGCGAGAGAAATGGCGCCGTCGCGGTCGCGTCAAGTTCGGTTCTCGAGTACGCCCCCTATTATAAAACTCTCTATTGATAATCACGAGCCCAAATTGAGTGTTCACGCAGTGCTCGGGCTCAATCTATGAGCCTCATTCAGATATCGTCATCGTGGGATACTGCATAATACCCGTGCCACACGGGCAACTCGAATGCCATTTACATGCAACGAATGACATTTGTGTGATCGGCGAATCAGCTCGCAATCTGTCGCGCGTTGAATGCGCCACGCCAGGAGTGTTGCGCGCTGATTGGTCGTCTGCTCAAATGTCATTCGTTGTAAATGGCATTCGAGTTGCCCGTGTGGCACGGGTATTACTGTGAGCTCCCTGCAACGTCAGCAAATTTGGCGAAGAAAGATCGAAAGAAAACGCTCACTTTTGTCCATGAGATTACACCGCAACAAAGGAGTTTTTTGGTCGGTGGCATCGTGGTCGAGTATACTTGGGCCCCACTTGTGTAAAGTGAAAAACATTCCATGCGAATATTGTTGCGTCGCCCCTTTAAAGACTTTTCAGATTGATCGAAGGCACAGTGAAAACGTCATTGAAGTTCACCATTGCTGGAAAAAACCAGAAGAAGAGGTTGCTGCCCGAGTACTTGTCGACGGTGATGAAGCCCGAGTAGCTGGGCACGTCATTCACGGGACCCAGGTCACCCACGCGGCTCGAAAGCTTGGCCGCCTGCAGGTCACCCGACTCGATCAGAGGCGTCAGGTACAGCCGGTCGCCCACGTCATCGAACGTGTCTTGGCTGCACAAAAGCGTATCATACATGTGAAGTCGCTGAAAGCTTAAAAGGGATGCTGAACCGAAATCTGGATTCCCCAAAACACGGCGGCAAAAGCGTGCAACGGGATGCTACAAACACCAAAATATCACTCATACAGCGATATCTCGAACGGATGACCGTATTTTTAAGAAAAGGAGGCGCATTTGGCAGAAATATTGACGTCATGTTTCTCCGAGAAGGAGATAGAACGGCCTCGCGTCTTCTCCGCCTCGCCGCCTTGAGGGAGCGAAGCGAAGAGGGGAGGAAACAAGGTATCTTGACGTCACGCGCCTCGTCGGCCTGGTTCAATCACGACCTAATTTTCGAAAAATACGGCCGCCCATTTGAGACATCGCCTTACTAGTAGTGCTGTAGGGATTGTAGAGTCCTGCCTACATCTCCTGCATTGTTTTTTTGAAATCCAAATTTCGGTTTACCATCCCTTTAAGGCCGGTTCACGCGGCACACTACAACGCGTTGCGTCACGTTAGGAAGGAATTACGTCTGCTTACGTCGAGAGTCGCGAAGACGCCTGTGCTTCGTACGATGCATGACAACCAGTCCAAAAGGTAGTCTTGCACCCTACATTCGAGGCACGGGTGTTCCGGTGAATCGTAACTTAAGGTAAGAAATAAATACATAAGCGAACACCCTTGTCCGCTCATACATCGAGCAAAGGACACGGAGTTTCTCTGCACACATGTCGACAGAAGTATTTGCGGACATGACTCAAGCATATTGCCGCGCGCAGGGTCACGGACTTTTAGAACTTTCTCGTTTATTCTTGCTCCGGACATAACTTCTATCGTTTATCCCTGCTTATGTTGTTCTAGAAAGTGCGTGTTCATTCTTGCCCGGAGCGGGCTACGCTCGAACCTTCTCCGCCGAATCTTCGAGATAGTGACTCACTCTAGATAAGACGCCGCTCGCGACCTTGTCGAGTCAGTTTCGCCCCAGCGCTCGACTCTGCTGTCTCGCCGACTTCGACGCTCGCGACGCTTTGTTATTATTTTCTATTCCATTTTGTTTTGGCACAAGTTCGCCACATTAAACGTTTATTTCTTCCTGTATATTTATTGCTATTCTGGTCACCACCCGTGACATTCTGGTGGAGGTGCGGGGTAACCGCATGCCCGTGCAGCGCTCCCCTCCGAGTTCCCGCAGTGCAAGTCCGAACACAAGCCCCCAAGAACACAACGAAGACCAGACCGAGATCCGATTAAGTCGCCGGAACCTTGGCCTAGACCCGGAATCAGGACCTTTGCTAACCCAGGACCAGGCAAACCAGGAGGACGACGATGGCCAACCAGTCGGAGACCCCGGCCGCTCCAGCCGTCGTTTATCTGCCCGTCGCACCACGGACGGCTGCTCCATTCCACGGCGAGCAATACGAAGACGTCGAAGACTGGATTGACCACTATGAACGCGTTGCCCGCCACAATTGCTGGACCGACGAGCAGCGCCTGCACAACGTCTATTTTTTGCTTGCTTGGGGGTACCGCCAAGCACTGGTACGAGAATCATGAGTCCTCTTTGACGTCGTGGGACATTTTCAAGACCGATCTCAAGGCTACGTTCAACAACAACCACCGCCGAGAGAGAGCCGAGGACCTACTACGAACCAGAACCCAGGACCCCAACGAGAGCGTCACCGGCTTCGTAGAGGACGTTCTGCGCCTGAGTGCCCGCGCCGACCCTCGGGCTACCGAAGAGAAGAAACTACGAATTCTCATGCGCGGGGTGAGAGACGACATTTCCGGAGGCCTCGTCCGCAACCCGCCGGCAACCGTCGACGCCTTCGTCACCGAGGCAACAAACATCGAGCGCGCCCTCCAAGCGCGCGCTTCCCACTACCAGCGGCATTCAAGCGTCACTGCAACCGCTCTGCTTAGCGGCGAAAACGCTCCTAGTACGGACATCCGCAAAATCATCCGGGAGGTCGTCCGGGAGGAAATCCGCCGGTTGCTGCCAGCTGCAAACCGACCAGCGACGCTCTCCATCGCCGAGGTTGTGCGGGAAGAAGTTCAGAGAGCCACCCAACCAGAGGCTCCCGTCGCCGTGGCAGCCACCGAGGAGCCCACGCTGACTTACGCCGCAGTGGCCCGACGGCCACCGCCTCCTCCTCGAGCCTATCTTGCGCCGCCCCGACGTCACTCTCCTGCGCCGCAGCACGACCGACGCCGCGACGACCAGCTCCAGTACGCCAGTCAAGAGCCCCGTGTACCCCGGAAGACCGATGTGTGGCGAACGCCCGACCGACGCCCTCTGTGCTTCCACTGCGGGGAAACAGACCACACCTACCGCCGATGCCCATACCGTCGACTCGGGCTGCGCGGGTTCCACCCGAACGACCCGCGACCCCATTATGGTGAACGGCCTCGGGAAATCGACGAGTACCTGCGACGACCTCAGTCCCCCGAGCCTGCGTCCCGCCGAGAGTTCCGGTCGCCTTCGCCACGACGTCCAGCTTCGCCGATGCACCGACCCCGACGTGAAAGCCTGTCGCCCCTCGCTCCACGTCGGGGAAACTAGGCGCGGCAACCCCTGGAGGTGGAGTTGCCGAAGACGACCGACGCCAAGATCCTCCACGAACGTCGGAGGGCCCCCACTCGAACGCTACCAGAGACCGAAACGACGCCCCTGCAGCGGTGTCCAATAACCTAAACGTCGTCATTGACGGCCACGACGCATCAGCACTCGTGGACACCGGAGCAGACTACTCGGTCTTGAGTGGGAGACTCTCCCGCCGCCTTCGAAAAGTCACCACGCCGTGGGATGGACCACAAATACGAACCGTCGGAGGGCACCTCATCACACCAGTCGGGAGATGCACTGCTCGCGTCGAGATCCATGGTGAGACGTGCCCTGTGAAGTTCGTCGTTCTGCAAGACTGTTCGAGGGTCGTTATCCTCGGAATGGACTTTCTCCGCGAGTATGGCGCCGTCATCGACCTCGGGGCAAACCAGCTGACGCTGCGAAAGCCTGTTTTACCGCCGGTGGAGACCAACACGACGTCAACCGCGATCCGAGTTATCGCCGACCACGTGAACTTACCGCCGCGGTCGAGTGTTTTCGTCACCGTCATAACCGACGCAGCCATGCACCGTGAAGCTCTTCTGGAAGGCAGCGTCCAACTGCTCCTTGAGAAAGGAATTGGCGTCGCACGAGGCGTAACGGATCTCCAAGAAGGACGTACAACTGTTCTTGTGACAAACTTCCGAGAGGAGCCGCAGCACCTAACGAAGGGTACCACTGTGGGCCACATTGAGGAGTTTCAAGCGCCAGCCGTGGTCACCGGAGACTCCGAAGAAACCTTGTCGTCACAACAAAACAGCACGCCGCCGCCGCCTATCGACATCAACCCCGAGCTCCCAGCTCCTAAGCGCCGGCAACTGGTTGATCTCCTCGCCGAATACAGTGACTGTTTTGCCACGTCGTCGAAAGTTCGCCAAACACCAATGGCGAAACATCGCGTTATTACCGACGACGACGCGCTCCCTGTCCACCAGTCGCCGTATGGAGTCTCCTTAAAGGAAAGGAAGGTGATTCAGGATCAAGTCCAAGAAATGCTCGACGACGACATCATTCAACCCTCAAGAAGTCCATGGGCGTCCCCAGTCGTCCTTGTAAAGAAGAAGGACGGAACCCTGCGGTTCTGCGTGGACTATCGTCAACTGAACGCTGTGACTAAGAAGGACGTCTATCCGCTCCCCCGCATCGACGATACGTTAGACCGACTGCGCCACTCCCGATATTTTTCGTCAATGGATCTGAAGAGTGGCTACTGACAGATTGAGGTCAACGAACGCGACCGGGAGAAAACTGCCTTCGTCACTCCCGACGGACTGTACGAATTCAAAGTGATGCCGTTCGGGCTTTGTACAGCGCCAGCCACCTTCCAGCGTGTCATGGACACCGTGCTGGCAGGTCTGAAAGGGCAGAGCTGCCTCGTCTACCTCGACGACGTCGTGGTATTTTCACGAGATTTTGACGAGCACCTGAAACGACTTCGAGCCGTGCTTCAAGCCACCAAGACCGCCGGCCTGTCACTCAAGCCGACAAAGTGTCGATTCGCCTATGGTGAACTTAAGTTCCTTGGCCACGTCGTGAGCAACAAAGGTGTTCTCCCGGACCCCGAGAA